CCCGGGGGGGGGGGGGGGGATGGGCACGCTTGGATTTGACTGATGCATAAAGACTGCAATTTATAATTGATGCAGTTGCTCCAATTTGATGTTGCTCCAAGCTTGATTAATTCAAGCGTTGTATACAAAGATAGCTGAACATTTTAACTTTTGTATTGCAAAGTACGTATAAAGGTGATCCCCTAAAATTAATTAAACATGAATGGTCAGAAGTACTCATTTTATATAATTATACTTCAAGACTGCATCAATTTGTAAAAGACAAATCTAGAAACAAATATACAGACGGCGTATATTCTAACAGTTATTTTATGGAGCCCCACATTACAGGACAAATCATATCATTATTGATATATTTCGATCATATACAGTGTAAAAATACAAAGTTCATATTTACCCCAATTGTACGAACTCGGGCATTGAATATTCGGCTTTGTCGTTGTAACTCCGCATTTCGCCTTCTTTGAATAGCGGCGGTTTCTTTCATATCCACAGGTAAATCAAGTTTATACATTTTAAAACTTTTGAACTTAACTTGAACTAAACAATCCTTTCCACTCTATCTTTTTGGAGAAATGTTGCTATGAAAATGTTGTAGTGTTTGTTGTCATGGTAACTTGAATTCAAACCAGTCCCTGGCATAGGAAAACCTGCGCGGAAGGCTCTGGAACAATCCTTCAGTTGCTGCCACGTATTCTATTAACTGTGCGGAACCAATGGGCAATGGAACCAACTGAGCAACAGTCTACAGAGTCCAGTTGTCGAGCTCTAACCACAAGTTCATGTATATATACTAGGGTACTGCCATTTTAAGGTATGGGTAAATATCAAGATTTTGCTGGCATTTCACTCGATTGAATATGAATAGTTGGAGGGTTTTGACTTTTGTAGATGGAAATTATCATGAAATTCTATACACATGCATTTATTATATACATTGTCATTTAAATAAAAAGAATGCACTGGCATTCATATTGTAATACACAGATGAACACGCACTAGAGGTCGGTATTATGCTGTCTTTATAGGGGGTCATATCTCTTTTCCGGGTTCATATAACGGCTTGTATGTATCTTGACAATATATTGCCTTTATTGGCGATGCCTCAAGGTACTATATATAGAAGCTTATCGATTGTTCTAGAGATACAACAAACAATAATGAATCAAGTTTCTTTCAAGATCGCGAGTGAACATCGAGTTATTCTACAACACTACATCTATACATGCAACAAACAAATAAAGGTCCAAGTTCAAGTTTTATCAATTTTAGCAACCTCCAAAATGGCACGGGCTTCCATTTAAAGACAGTAGACTAATCCCGTACCACTTTTTTGGTTCATGGACAAGAACCAAAAAAGTGGTACGGTACCAAAAATCAAGCGTAGTGTAAACGGGGCTTTAAGCCTAAACGGTAGGCCCATTTCAAAAACTCATTTAACAATTCATGAGGAAAACACAAAGAAAAATCATAACTCATAAGCGTGTCGTATCTTTATATGTGATAGAGATTTCCCTTGATTTACGTAAACTTTAACTTTGATTTTAAATTACTTCACCAATGAACTTACTAGATCGATCGTTTTTGTCATTTTGAAGCGATTTAAAACATTCGCAGTGCATGTTTTATCAGACCTAAAGATACTCGGCTTCGCCTCGTATCTTTATTAATTAACAAATATAAAACATTTTCCGTGTACAGTTATATCAACACGAGTGGAAATTGGGAAAACGAGAAATTGTGTGGAAACACGACGCCCGAAGGGCGGAGTGTTTTCACACAATTTCGAGTTTTCCCAATTTCCACGAGTGTTGCCGATATAACTCTATATCAATAGGGGGAAAATGTTTTATATTTGTTTTATAATATAGCCATTACCAGAAATATGGGACATTTTGCTCCCGCTTTTGTAGTCAGCGGCTAAGTCCGTTTTATATGCCCAACATTCCCTAATATAAGTAATACGACTTCGCATTTTACTTTGAATCTCCAGTTCAAGTATTATTCAACCAAAAACTGTGATTTTAAACTATATTTTGCAGTTTA